TTATTTCAAAGAAAGCTCTTGACTACATAACATTATTTCCTTGTCCCCTGTATGCCATGGTGAATTATTCATTAAAGATGCACCTTTGATTTAAGCAATGGTCACCTGTTTATTTCAATAACGATGACAGTGTAAATGTTTCACATCTGATCACTAAGTTATTACCATCGCCATAACTAAGAATATCACAATGCAATGCTTAATTGTTTGAAAACAAAAAAAAATCCAAATTCCCAGTTCAAATACATAGGGGACTGAACTGCTATTAAAAACATTCCACTAGCTGCAGAAAGAAGAAACACCGCTTCATACTAGACATAACAAAAGAAAGGAAAGCATACTTTATATCCCTGGCATAACATGCAAATAAAGTTTAGTGTAAAGGGCTAGGTCAAGTTCCTAGGCAGCAATATACAAATGCCATACACAAATATCTGATAACAGAGTCAGCGATTTCAACTGAAGTCTAAAGTGCAGTAAGCTGTCTATACTATCAGCTGATCAGAAGAAGACAGAATGCCAGGCCTTAGACCAGTTCTCAATAAGGATCTCAGCTAGGGTTGCCAAGTTCTCACCTCATGAACAACAGGGGAGTCCAGTGCTGGTCCGGGAGTCCATGCGCGTGTGCAAAGCACGGGCGCGCCGCAATTACATCACCTGGAATCATGTCGGGTATGTTGAGGGCGGGGCAACAATCATCCGAGGGAAAACCATAGAGTTTTCCCTCGGATGATTGTGGCCCGCCCACAACATGCCTGACGTGACTGTGTCACTTCCGGGTGACGTGCTGACGCCGGGCATGTCGCGTGCTTTGGGGGTGGTGTTCCCACGGGGCCCAATCCATCGGCAGTGAGTAACGGGCCTCTCAGGCGGGGGTTTCCCCACCCCCCGGGAGGACTTGGCAAGCCTAATCTCAGCTAGCCTCCTTTCTTTTGGGCCTAAACTGAATGATAGTTTTTGGCCTGGAGACATCTGGTGAGGATGACATCCAATCAAAATATATTCTCTGGAGAAGCCTCCAGAAGATTACCTCATCACTCCTGGTTCACCTCCCCCCACCCTTGGGCAGCAGGTTCTCATGCCACCTCCATCTCTGGCCTTGAAGAACTGTACAGTTCTATTCAAGTTAACTGCTGAGGGGAGGCCAGGGGCACTTTGCCTTACACCCACTTCTTTAAAACTGTGAACAATCAACAACCTTGGTTTTATAACAATCAACAGTCTTAGTGCTCGTGAGGCAATAGTGGGAGGGCTTCTGGAGTTCTGGCCCTGCTGGTGGACCTTCTGATGGCACCTGGGTTTTGGCCACAGTGTGACACAGAGTATTGGACTGGATGGGCCATTGGCCTGATCCAACATGGTTTCTCTTGGTCTTTTGTTCTTATATACCTTTCTTCATGTTGAGCTATACTGTGCTTCAGCACTTGCTGAAACTACAACTCCCATCATGCTTTCTTCTCCCCTTTGCCACACTCCTTCACTGAGTGGTCTTACTGGAATATTTGACTTGTTTCAGAACTCACCACAAAGATTTTGCTCTAATGTTCCTTGCTACACTTTCTCATGAAATTTCATTGGCCAATCTGAGGGGTACTGCAGATCGAGAAAAAACATGCAAGAAACAGCAAAACAAGATATTTCAAGCCACCACAATGTTTCAGGACAAAGACTACTAACGTGTAACTAGTAACATGTAACCTTACTGTATGATCCTGTGCAGAATTACCCTAACCTAAACCCCTGGGTTTAGAGTGGGATAGTTCTGCATAAGATTGTACAGTAAGGTTCTTTCCAGATTAATTTCTGATCATTTAATGTGCATCAGTAACTCACTTGTCCAGATGGTGCTCCTCCAGCTAATATACATGTTCTCAGGAAATCACATTTTCCAACAGTGAACTCCCAATGATTTGTTCCTGAAAATATTTCTGCAAGATTGAGTGAACCATCATTATATTCAGACAGCATCATGATTCCCTCCTTCCCCTACTTAAGTCACACTATCACGCATTCTTAGCATTGAAAAATAGTATTCAAAACAGTATTTAAAAATTGTCTACTGCTGTAAAACTAAATCTAGTCTTTTGAAAAGATGACCCCACACACACACACCATTTCCTTCCACTGGTAGGGTTGCCAGCTCTAGGTTGGCAAATACCAGGGCTATTTTTGGGCAGGAACGGAGTTCCGGCTGGCTCCCAAGTTGGCCACGCCCAGCAGGAACTCACTAGCATAATAGGCCACACCCAACGGCAGAAACTCATTAGGATTGGCTACATTAGGGGTGTGTGGTCTAACATGCAAAGGAGTTCCTGCTACAAAAAAGCCCTGGGTTTTGACAACAAACAAGGTAAACAGAATAAGAAGCAAAAGGTGGGTGTGGCTGGATAACCACACTTCTGGTAACACGGGGGGGCGGCCTAATATGCTGTGCTGTCGGGGGGTGGCCTAATATGCTAATGAGTTTCTGCTGTTGGGTGTGGCCTATTATGCTAATGAGTTTCTGCTGGGCTTTTTCTACAAAAAGAGCCCTGGCAAATACCTTTAGATTTTGTAGGTGGAGCCTGAGGAGGGCAGGGTTTGGGGAGGGGAGGGACTTCAATGTGGCAAAATGCCATGGAGTCCACCTTCCAAAACAACCATTTTCTCCAGATGAATTGATCTCTGTTGCCTGGAGATCAGTTGTAATCCCAGGAGATCTCCAGCTACCATCTAGTGGTGGGAGTAGTGGTGGGAGTAGTTTGTTAGGATATTATGAGCACGGAAAGAATCTGTTTCATTGGAGTGGGAAGAATGTTGGGTGTTAATTCACAGATACGAATTGTGTAAGTATTTTTAACTTTGCGGTAGGCATTATGGAGTTTGCATGCATGTATTAGTGACAACATAAGATGGTCATTGGATTGTAATTGTTTTTCCTCTCATTTCAGTGACATGTAAATTAAGGTTACTTACAAAGCACACTGAGAAAAAGCTGTCATGTGAAATGGGAGTATATGCAAATTCCATTGTGTGTATGCGTACATCTTTATTACTTGCTGAAGAAACACTACTCACTGCAAAAGAGCAGTCTAAATATAGATTTCGTAGTACTACATCATGGTTGTTTTCATCTTTGTTCGCATCCTTCCCATGATCTCTCTGTTGTTTCTACAACCATCTAGTGGTTGGCAACCCTATCTATTGCAGTGCCCTGCAATTTTGTATTATTTTACCTGTTTTTGTTCCATAACTGTGTGCTATCTCCTGCTCATCTCAGAAGCACACTTTTTCATCTACTCAGGGAACTGGGAAAAACTATGGCGCATGATGATGTTGTTTCCATTAATTACACAGTGTGTTATGCTGTTGGCACATCATTATAGGGGTATCAGACCTCCAGGTGGAGGCAGGCCCCACCATCCCACTGCCAATCAGCTGGCCAGCAGGGGGAACTTACCCCAAAAAAGAGGGAGATCCAGCTGACATGCCTATATCACTGCTCATGTGACCCGGAAGTGATGTCATCACATCAGGGTGATGCTCTGATATTTGGGCAAACCTCTATGGTAGAAGCCAAATTTACCATAGAGTTTTTGTCTAAATAATAGAATGTCACTCCGACATCCCCAACATGATGATGTCACTACTGGGCAGTGATGTAGGCATATCATTGCACATCGGCTGGGCCTCCCTCCTGCTTCTGGTAAGTCCCCCCCCATTAGGGTTGTCAGGACCCTGGTCTGGATGAGGGTTCCCCAGCTTTTGCAGGGGCCTTTCCACCGCCAGCCAGCTGGCCAGCAGGGAGAAACCCCACCTAGAAATGCCCCAAATGCAATGTGATGATGTCACCCTGAAGTGACATCATCACATCTCCAGTGTCGGGGGGGTGATGCTCTAGTTTTTAGACAAAACTCTATGGTAAAATTGGGCTCAAACCATAGAGTTTTGACCAAAAATCAGAGCCTCCCCCCCACGTTAGCGACTTCCACGTGACATCCCAGACAAGACCCTGGAGCCCCCGCCAGCAGCTGGTAAGGACCTGGCAACCCTACCCCCCCTACCCAACCCAGTTGTCAAGAGGGACCTGACGATCCTAGATCACTACTAGAATAAACACCCTGTTACCAGCCCTTGAATTGTTCAGGGTCTTTACTGGTCTGGAAAGACCCAAAACTGTAAAAGCATTTTTTGACATATCTTTAGTGCTGGAGAAGAACTCTAAAAATCAAGAGAACTTAAGTTCTCTGGCTGAACTGGGGTGCATGTTTGACACTCCATGATCCTGGCACTACATCATCTGTATCCCTTAAAGCAAGCAGTTATGACTTTATTAGATTCCACTGATGCCACATATGCGTGACCATTTTCTGACAGTTATTATAATACCACTGACATTCTAGCAGCAGCAGTTAAGAATATTTATATAGCCAAGCACCATAGAAGTTTTTAACAGAGGCAATGGCTATTGTGACACATTAAAAACAGTTCCAGGAATAAGAGCTCACATACAGGACCACAGGGCACAACACTTCCAGGAAGAAACAGATACCGTATGTTTTCAAAGGTCATGTATTTGTACTCAAGGCCAAACAATAGCAAAACGTCCCATGAGATTCCTCTGCCATGCCTTTTTTTAAAGTGGAAATATGGGTGGCAAATCCACAAATCATACAGATGGAGCGGGTGTGGCACATGTACAGGCTGTGGCACAGTGAAATGTATTTTCCTGCACTGCTCTCCTGCCTGCTCACTAGACTAAAGGCAAAACCACAACAAAAGCATCATAAACTGTCAAGCATGTTCTGGAAGGAAAATGAAAGCTGTGACCCTTCCCCCTAAAAAAAAAATAATTGTTGTGGCTGGCAGCCTGGAGAAAAATAAATAGTCACGTGGGAGGGGATGGACAGTCCAAGAACTGTGTTATCTGATATAGGAGTCAGGCCGGAATCTGGAGCTTGAAAGGAGAAGATGGAATACTATGGGCCTCTTGTGTCACCTGGGTGCTGCAACGCAGGAAAGAGAAGGCCAACAAGTGCTTCCTGCAGTAAGTTGCCTTGGAGGAACAGGGATGTTGTAGCTGCTGACTGGCTATTACTTTGTTAGGTTAATGGCTTAGAATAGTTTGTTGATGTTTCCTTAATGGTCACTAAGGCTGATTCCGCACTAACAATTTACTCCCCTTTCCCCCCAGATCTAATTGGCCCGATTATTTCCATTCATTTCCCGGCTTTTCTTTTTTGCACATCGCCATGCCCCAGATCTAATGGTCCCTCCCCCTCTGTTACCCCTTATTTTTAAAAGAACATAGACGGGGTTTCATCATAACACACCGCCCACATGCTTGATCTATGTATATGTGGGTGGGTGCGTTGTGACGTATCCACCCACAAAAAGCTGTTGACGTGCACCAAATTTGTACATGAGTGGTTACGTTACAGCACTACAGGGCAGCGATTGGTCGCTTAGATTTTTGAATTTAAATCCCCGGGAAAATGGGGTGAAATGGGATGAAAGATAATACACCCGTACCGAAATATGTATGTCTTGCGCATGCATGGTTACAATGCAACACAACCACGACTGGTTGCAGGCAGGATGGGGAGGCGGGGGAGTTGGCCTTGCACCAACTGGTCCTTTTGAATTGTAGAGGAAAGATCCTCCCCCCCCTTCCCATGAGAAAGTTAACACCAGCCAACTGCTCTATACACACGCACATTCCCCCCCCCTTTTCATCTCTCCTTCCCTGGGTTTATGGCAGATCAGGCTGAAGGATCAAACAGGCATTTGGCAGAGTCATTTACATAGCAGGACGGTGCCCGACTCTGACAGAAAGAAGAAGAGAGGGGCGTTAAAGGGGTGGAGCAAGGAGGAGTGAGGAGGAGCAACGACAGCTGCGATGCAGGTTCCCCACTAGAATGCCCTGGCTTCACCCCCGCAGTAAAAAAAACTAACCTTTAAATCTCAGTGAGGAAAAATCTGGGGGGGAAGACCCCTAGATTCGGGCCAAAGAGCAACCCCGTGGCAACAAATGTGGAAATGATCAATTGCCGTGATTATTACCGGGTGGGTGAAACCTTGGCAACTATTTGTGCGGAATCGGCCTAAGTGTCTGGTCCCCAGATTTTTTTTTAATGTTATTTTTTGCTACCAAGTCACAGCTGACTTATGGCGATCCTGTGGGGTTTTCAATGCAAGAGACATTCAGAGTTGATATGCCATTGACTGCCTCTGTGTCATCACTCTGGACTTCTTTGGTGGTCTCCCATTCTAATACTAACCCAGGCTGACCCCCTGCTTAGCTTCCAAGATTTATTTATTTATTTATTTATTTATTTCACTTTTACCCCACCCTCCCCACCAGGCAGGCTCAGGACGGCTTCCAAAAACTGACAAGCAGTATACATACACAATAAAATATAAATACAAGGCATCAGTTAAAACACAACCAATCAGTATAAAACATTCACATTTGTTGTTGTTGTTGTTCAGTCGCACAGTCGAGTCCGACTCTTTGCGACCCCATGGACCAGATCATGCCAGGCCTTCCTGTGTCTTCCGCCGTCCTTTATTACATTCATTAGATGGCGATAAAACTAAAGTGCAATTTAGGGACACATTCAGCGGTGCCACCGCATTAGGTCGTATTGGATCAGAGTTCACACAGGGCGCTGCTGGTAAGACGTCGCTCCTATTGGAACGCCTGCCTAAAAAGTTCTATTTTCACGGCCCTGCAGAACTGTGACAAGTCCCGCAGGGCCCTGATCTCGGCAGGGAGCTCATTCCAGTAGGACGGAGCTACAAACGAAAAAGCCCTCGTCTAAGATCTAAGATTGGGCTAGTCTGGGCTATCCAACTCAGGGCAGTCCCCTCATTGCTGTGTTCAAAGACTCATTTTCCCTCCCAGTTGAAGAGAGGTAACAGAGTGTGTTCGTAAAGAAATGGTAAACTGGGTTTCAGACAGACAGAGAGGGAAGCAGACAAGACTCAGTTGAGAATATCTCTCTCTCACACACACACACACACACACACACACTTGCTTGCTTTCTCAGTGTCTCTGGGTATTTGATGTGGAATAGCAGAGCTGTTGCCTATAAGGAGAGCTTCCTGTATATTTGTAATATATTACAAGAATGCCATAAAATGCCAGTACTCTTTCTTCCAAAGGGAACCAGCACTGGAAATCTGGAACTTTTCACTGCTTGAAGAATGGAGAGTATGTAACGAAACACCTGGTTGAGAATTGATTAAAATTAAATGAATTTAGAGAAGACATGGGGAAGACTATTTTGGGAGAAATGTCATTCCTGAGGCCTCGTAGTGTCCAATCTACTGAATTGTTTCTAAAGCTTCAGACTTCATCTGGGGTATGAGTACCAGAAAATTCTCTTCAAAGAACTAGAAATAGGACTCCTCCTAAAATATCATGTGCCAGTTTAACATACAGGCACTCTTGTTTAACCCTTATTTCCACAGCGCTCATCATCTCCCTACTGGCTAACTTTACCTTGCCAAGCATAGTCTATACTGGCTGTTTCATCATTGCCAAGAATGGAAGACTGAAAGAAGAGAAATGCTCCCCAAGTGGGAAGCTGAGTATACACCACTGTGCAAAGTGCACAAATGCTGGAGCTGGAGCCATGGATTACTCACATGAGTGCACTTAAGTAGTTAGGGGTCTGGGTTGACCAGAGAGTAAAATGATCAGTGCAAGCTGCTCACAATAAAAGGTTGGCTACAGCAACATCAAATATTATCTGTCGATTTTTTTAATCATCTGGGGCTCAGTATATCGCAGCTGCCATCAACTGTTTAATGCCAAAGTGGCTGCGCAAAGTTTATATGGGGCTGGTATCTGGATCGGCAAAATAGGGGTGTCCTTCAATTCAGTTCTGCTTAAATTCCTACATTCCATCTATGGAATTCCGAATTGTGTAGCAGGGGTAGCCCTCCGAGCTGAATTGGGACAACCCTGTCTTGAAGCTCAGGCCAACATCCAAGAGGGCTACCTCAGCTTAGTCAGAGAGGACTCTTATGTTTCCCACTGGGATAAACTTGTTGAGCAGTGACTACAGTTCCTCAATGTTTCCTTGGACTCCCTTTATTCAGTTACCAGACATGAAGCCATAAGAATGATCAAGAAATGTCTAATTAAGTACAATTACAACTATACAATCTGTAGACAGCAACATATTTGTTCTACTCGATTTATTAGTATTCTTCCACCTGGAGAGCTCCCCAACTACTGCTCATATTGGACTGTTCCTTGCTATAGGTTTGCCTTTATGTTGGTGCACCTTAATGCCCTACCATCTAGACTTTTGCAAGGGAGGTATCTTAAGATACCATACTCTAATAGAGTATGCAACTGTGGTACAGGTAGTGTAGACATCCTGTATCACATGACTTTTCTGAGCCTAGAAATCTTTTAATTCTTCCTTGGCTCCAAAATATAGATCTTATTTATTTATTTGTCGTATTTCTAGCCCGCCCGCCCTGCAAGCAGGCTCAGGGTGGTTCACATTACTTGGCCCACTGGGCTGAGATTCATATAAACATTTAAAACCAATCAAACAATCAATCAGTTACAATAAAACCAGTTAAACAATTTTTTCAAGAGAGGGCGGACCATCGCCTCCTTGAGTGCCCCCAGGAACCATCCCTCCACAAGGGACTTGTTGATAATCTCCCTCAGGGCATCTCGGAACCCTTCATGGCCGGCTTTAATCAGCCAGGAAGAGCACGGGTCAAGGTTGCATGTGGTTGGGCATACAGTCATGAGCACTTCCTCCAGGCCAAGTGGGCCGAAGGAATCCAAAGCTTAATTTGAAGACATGCAAGGGGCCTCAAGTTCACTCATTGTATCAACTGTGGCAGGGAGGTCATGGTGGAGCGCCGAGACTTTATCGGCAAAATAGCTTGCAAAAGCCTCACAGCCAATGTCCAGTTCCCTAACATTTGGTCTGCCCTGTGGCAGAGCTGTAATGGCCCGAATTGTTCTAAATAATTGAGCTGGGCGTGAGCTTGCGGATGCAATCGTGGCCGCATAGAACTCCTTAGCAGCTTTGACTGCCATCTCATAGAATCTCATAAACGTCCTATAAGATGTTCTTGTTGCTTCGTCTCGAGCCCGACGCCACCATCTCTAACCGTCTCCACTCCCACTTCATAAGCCACAACTCCTGAGTGTACCAGGGAGCAAGCCTAGAGCGAGTGTGCAGAGGGCACCAGGGAACGATCTCATTGATGGCAGCAGAGAGTCGGCCATGCCAGTCCTCCAGAAGCTCATCCAATGAGCCACCAGGGGGCATAGGATCCCGCAGGGCCATTTGAAGCCACACTGGGTCCATTTGGCTCCACGGGCAAGCTAAAATTTGCTCACCACCTAAACAGGGTCGGGGTGGAACATTCAGATGAGCCCTCAGGGCATGATGGTCCAACCACGGTACTGCTGAAGCAGTAATCCAGTCCACTGTTACCCCAGCCGTGAAGATCAAATCAAGCGTGTGAGTGAGTGGGGGACGTTACCAATTGTGAGAGCCCTAGTGCCGTCACGGACAATACCAGGTCTGCCACCTGGATGGAAGCCGCATCATCGGCATGGATGTTGAAATCACCCAAGACAATCAGCCTAGGGTGTTTCAGCTCCCAGCCTGATATGGCCTCCATCAGGGCCCGTAGGCTATCAGCCAGTGCGTTAGGCAGTCAGTACACTCCAACCATGGTACTGCTGAAGCAGTAAGCCAGTCCACTGCTGAAGCAGTAATCCAGTCCACTGTTACCCCAGCCGTGAAGATCAAATCAAGTGTGTGCCCAGCCCGGTGAGTGGGAGATGTTACCAATTGGGAGAGCCCTAGTGCCGTCATGGACAACACGAGGTCCGCCACCTGGATGGAAGCCACATCATCGGCCTGGATGTTGAAATCACGCAAGAAAATCAGCGTAGGGTGTTCCAGCTCCCAGCCTGATATGGCCTCCATCAGGGCCCGTAGGCTATCAGCCAGTGTGTTAGGCAGTCGGTACACCAGCCAAATCGCCACACTCTCC